TGAAGTTCGATATTTTGCGTGCGGATAAACCCTAGGAAGTTTTGGCGATGAACTTTACACAACTGTAAAGAATTCAGATAATCTCGTAAAAACTGTTACATTTTTTATATATTTTATTCTTCATTTTCGTCTTCATTAGAAACTTCAATTCCCCGTTGTATTTCTGCATATAAATTAATGCTTCTCATGGTTATGCGCAATGAGTTTCAATAATTAATGGGATGAACTTTCACACGAAATCCCGGAGTGTAACGTGACCATCAAATATGTCCTCCTCCGACAAATAAGAATAAAAGTTGATGATGTAAAAGTCTGGAAACTATAGTGCTACGTTTTTCGTAAAATAGCCATCAATTTGCAATGATAATGCGATTCTTCTATTTCTTACTCGTTCTTTAACAACCACTTATGTCTTGCCCGCAAATCATCAGTCTCTATTCAGAACGTAAACTATATGACTAAGATTTTACCAGGCTTTCTTTAACGATTAAACATGGACAATGAGTTCCAGTCTATTTGGGATTTATGCCTTACTTTCTCCTGATATCCGTATCACTGACACTGCCTTATCAGCGTACCATTTTAGATTCAGAGTTCTGTATGAAGCCGTCACGGTTATGCAATGCTACCGCGACTCGCCTTGGCCTACAATCCTTTAGTGAGACCGTTTTCACTGTCTGTTACGTAGGGGCTGAAATTTGATTTTTAGAGAGCGGTGCTGGAAAAGACGTTTGTTGAGCCTTCGATGTGACACGGATTTCTATTTCGATGCCGTCAGCTAGGACTGCCTTCGTTATAAAAAATATCATTTGAAGCTATGGACAGTAATATGTGCAACCACTGTTTCTGTCCCACATGGTATTCGTTTGTCTACCTCGAATGCTTGAAAGGTAAGTTACGTGCTTTGGTCCCTAACGGCTTTCCACGACGAATAGGCCGAGGCAGGATTATGAGAGCTTATGAGGCGTAATAGCCAAAATGTTTAATCGGTCAACCAAGTGATTTTTCTAACTGATAGCAATATCTACATCTACGGCAACTGTTGTCTGTAGTATTCTACTTCCTTCCCACGTATAATCAAACTTTCTTAACTATCTTGAAGAAGAAAAGGTAAGTAACCCAGGCGGAACTTAAGCTGCGATAACGACACTCTACCGACTGAACGTCCATGTCATATAAATATATCACCAATGGGTGGCAACAGTTTCAATATTTTTTAGGATTTAAATGTGTACGTATTTTGTAGTAAACAAGATCGATAACTATACTAATGCGTCAATTCCAAAAGCAACGAAGCAAACGGCGTATTGAACACAGCAGGACTGCCAAACAAAAGCCTACTGTGACGTTTTATTTGGCAAGGAAAAGTAGTTCACTACCGGATATCTTCGGTATCTTCCGAATGATGACTCGCGAACTACTAAATCAAGAAGTATCTACTGCCATAATGACTTCTGAAGGTTGAAGTACTTTTGCAACTGCAACTAGTCTCGTTCTGACATTGGAAATTATCTTTAGTATTTCGCATTTTAGGGTGGAACTGAGCAAAAGACAGTTAAAATAACGAGAAAAGATTTTTAAATCAAAAATTTAATATTATTTACAGTTGCAGACTGAATATTAAGAGCGGTTTCAAAAACTGTTTTTCAAATTAAGGAAAAGCTATAACAAGCAATTACTCCCCATGTCCTAATTCTCTGAATCTCCAGCTGCAAAAGTAACCTTCCGTACTACCAGTACGTTCTTGGAAGTGGAAGTGTCTTTGAGGGGTGACACAAAAAGGCAGTTAGTAGTACTCTACTTGCAAAAGAATTTTTGTTACTTCACAAAATCAATCGAATGATCATGATCTTATGATTTAATTCAAATCGCACTACTGTAATTCCTTTTTTCTATCAAAACTGCGACTACAGATGCATAATAAAAAAAGTCATTACCCGACAACGTGTTGACATTCAGCAAGAAGCAGTGAGTAAATTAGCTACAATTGAAAACAAAAATAAGTTCAAGGCAATGACATGTGGAACTAAAGCTTATCGTGCAAGCTTCTATTCAGCTTGATATCATGAAAAACATTCATGTGAATCGATTAACCGAAATTCCCTAACGGTTTCCACACACGTAATATCAACTTTTGCCCGAATCGAGCTTAAGTGTATATGTTGTCTTTAGAGCCCAAGAACAGCAATTTTGTAAAACGAATGACTGGTAGAGAGCAAGATACTCTTCTAAACATGATGAGAGATACACCGACGCACTGCCGCTATTCAAATGAAGTATCCGTAATCTATATAAGTTCTTGGTCGCCTGGTCCCGTAAACACATGAAAACGCTATAACGCAGTTTATAGAGTTTACGCCACTAGGTCATCACATAAGTTCAATATTTTTACTGCTTTAATTCAGCTTGTTCTGGCTCTAAATAAGACAGATGGTTCGATCAGAATCACATGCAATGGATTACTCCGTAAAACTGTACTGCTGACAAGTTTCCCAACGCTCGATCCTTCCTCAAGAGCCATGGTGTACATGCAGGAAGTGCATGGTTATCGGCGCACAACAACGCAAACTCTGCTGCACAAGCTTGGATCAAGCGGGAAAATTTAAAAGTGTTATAAAACCTGGCTAACCAGAGGCTGAATGCTACGTAAAAGTGCTTCAACGGAAAAGAATAACTAAATCAGGGACGATTTTGCCTCTTGAACTTTCTTGACACGGTTCTAAAAACGTCAAGCTAGATTGGAAGCAGAGGTGGATCGTGTCAGCTATCGTTATTGCCTTCCAGAAACCCAAGGATAGAAAATTTTATTTTAATTATTTACACACGACACGTTCCTGTTATGATGAGATCAGGCTTCGGCTGGAATTTCCAGCCATCATCGGCAATGTAGTTAAAATCATTGATTCCATTATTTTTATAAGTAAGGGTCAGCAGTCGATGATATTCGGTGAGTTTCATTACTTAGCTGATGAGGGCAGGAAATTCTAATCGAAACCTGGTCCCATCAAAACAAATTTTTCGTGTGTAAATATTTTTGATCGTTATTCAAGTCATCCACGACGTCAAGCTTCTACGAATCGTTACGTCCCATCGTTTCAATCAGTTTAAAGATAAGTGCTGTACTGAACTGCATGATCCGCTTATGCCATACTATACTCGAACAAAACTTATTCTCTTCCTTTCCACACTAAGATGCAAAAATGAAAAGCAA